AGCGGTCTTTGAGTACGCGGCCCTTGAGGACCGTTGAGGCTGCAGACCCTGAATCGGGACACAGCCAACGTCCTTGAAATCCGGGAAACTGAGGACGCAGACGCACTGAAGTAACCTTCGTCGCCTCGCTGTGACGTAATGAGCCCTCGAAGGCTGCAGCCCCTGGACTTAGCTGTTAGCAGCTGCTAGCAGCTGTTAGCCTGTGGAGCTGTCATCACCAAGCCCGACACTCCGCGGATAAACCGTCACACCGTGAGTTTAATCACACTGTCGGAGGGACTTTAGGACCGTTAGCTCAACGGTCAGCTGTGCTCCCTCCGAGCGGAGATTTCCATGTTAAAATAGAAGTTTCTATGTTTAATGTAGTGTACAGAGAAAGTCGTCCAGCTGACTTCTTCAGTCTCAGCTGACTGCAGGTTTCCAACCTTATACAGACAGATCAAAGATCACTGTCATAGCCGATCAATGATCAATCACAGTTTGCATATCATTGATCACAAACTGACCTCACAGCCCGTTGTGAGTCAGGGGTGCTAGTGTCAGCCGCTGAGCACAAGTTCTGTTTATAAAGTCGAAACCTGATGATGACGAAATGTTTCTCCCACTGAAAGCGTCCAGCCTTCCTGGACCCTAACCCCAGCCCTGACCCCTTCCTGGACCCTGACCCCTCCCTGGGGTGTTAACAAAACGTTTCTCCGCTGTAAAATTATTTTCAATGTTAATTGAAGATTTTAATATGTGGGTATTGACTTTTCAGGTTTAGTTTTTCCTTGTAAGATGATTCTTCATAATTAAACAAGAGGAATAATAGTGTGATGTCTTGTGTTCATCATGAAGGTATAATTTGATATATAATAGTTTTGGTTTTGTGCAAAGTATCGGATCAGTGTAGCCTGAACTTTACTGTCAGGTGGTCTCTGAGCCACTTCCTGTTTGCAGTGGTGATGGACAGGTGGCGTCAGGTAGGAGCATCTGCAAGGAGGTGAGTGCAGGCAGGGAGGAGACGAGAAGGAGAGCAGTATGAGAGCCAGAGGAGGTTTAAAGGAGGCAGTGAGACCTGCTGTGATGGTTGGAGATGAGTGGGAGCGAGCAGAGCGGGTCACCCTGATGAATCCTCACCTGCTCTCAGCTTCATCTACACCAATGTTCTGCTGTCCCGACAGTTTAGGAAGTGTCACATAAATAAGCGTCTGAATCTAAGTACACAAAGTGTTACCACAGATTATATTTCATTAACCAATCAGACAGCTCGCCTATTCCTCAGGTTACTCATGACATTTTTTAACGTTTAGGTGAAGAAGCATGCTGTCTGCAGTGAGAGCTGCTCGATGCGCCGTCAGATACCTCAGGGGTGTCTGTACCTCTGCCATGGACACAGGTGATACACCCACACACACAAAAGAAAACACTGATGGAGGAGAGCAGCGAGGGGAAGAGTGAGTGGGGTTTAAAGTCTGGAGCGTTTCAAAGATTAACTTCATCGACTGCTGCTCGCTCAAACATTAACTGTGGGGAAGCAGATAAGAGCAGCTCATTGTTCTCTCGGGCCTTTCACCTCCTGCTCCGTGACAGGTAGACAGGAAGCAGCTCACTGACATGTTTGTGTGTGAGATGATGAAGTCGGAACATTTAAATAATCTGAGTCCTGCTAATCTGAGGCTGTTAATCCGGCAGAAAGACCCCAGAATAAAGACCACAACAGGATTAGCCAACGGTAAGAGATCATCTGAACTGGACGGGCTTAGGACAGACT